TCTGCTCTACAAAATGCTTGGTTCCATTCCACCTCTGTTTCAGGTGTTTTTCAAATTTTAGGCCTGCGAAATAGGGAGGTCCAGCCGACAAAAATTGACCAAACCGACAACTAGCTCTAACTTTATCTTTTCTTACCAGAAATCAATCAATACTGTACCCTCTACTTACTCATGACCTCTTCTAAACATTCCACTCTAAGTTTGCCGTGTTTTCTTTTCGAATTGGCTGACGGATAAGCCATAGCAATTTTCAAATTAAAATTGTTCCTCGTAAACGTCATTGTTTCATATCGAGTGGTGTTCCTTTTGTGAGCACTTCTTCTGCTCTATTCGCTCATTTGTTTTGTTTTTATGTTTGTTGGGAATTAGTTCGAATTTTAGGTGTTTAGGAATAAGGTGCTTTATCCGCGAAAGTGACCGCATTTCTTTGAAAAAAATTATCCCTGAGAAGATGAGAAAATCAACCAGGCGTACATTCCTAACTTAGTCATGACTTGTTCTTCAAATTCTACTAGTTTTTCAATGTCTCGGCTATAAAAAAATTTCGACCTAGATCTCAGGTAATGGTGCTCGACCGTCGAGTTCTGGTTGAAAAACCAGGTCTGGAAATGGAACGACGCGACTTGTTGGAAAACCTAATTGTAGTGTAATTCAGAGAAGAGGGAGTCATGTGTAAGTAGAGGGTACATCATTGATTGATTTCTCCCAAGGGAAGATAAAGTTAGAGATAGTTGTCGGTTTGGTCAATTTTTGTCGGCTGGACCTCCCATTTCACAGGCCTAAAATTTGAAAACCTGGAACATAGGTGGAAGTGGAACACAGCATTTTGTAGAGCAGACAATTCTCTTTCGAATGGTATATAACTCGATGTAAAAGCATGGGGATTTAGATGAAAATTTTTTGGTTGAAAAAAAAGCGACACTATTTTATGAGACAACCTAATAGTTATTGCAGAGTGCAAAATTGCAGGGTTCTAGGTATTCTAGCATTTTTCGATCTAGGTTTGAAAAGATCTCAGTAGCATATCTCATGTCTCAAGTTGTTGCTATGGACTGAGATCGGACCGCTTCATTTTGGAATACAGGATGTATTCTCAGATCAGATCTAATCGTCTTATGAATATCTCGGATCAATTTATGTGTACATATATTCTCGAGATACTATTCTGCCATGTTGTTGGGAATATGGTCTAACATGTGACAGAGCCTGCGATTCATTCGGACACTAGAACGTGGGGGGGGGAGGTTGGGAGATGAGGGTTGTATGCAATTTTCAAAGGTTACGTTACTGCGGGTTGATCAGCAAAGGAACCCTTTCTATGAACGGTCAATTGAAGAGGGTAAAGGAACCCTGGTTATTAGCCCGACCCGTGGAAAGGATACCGCGAGGGGAAAAAGGTCCCTACCTACCTAAATCCTCCAGCTTCGCCGCAAAAGTTGCGCGGTTAGGGCGCTAATCCTTACGGGCCTGCAACCATCGATCCCCGTTTTTTTTTCCAACGACTTTCCACGCCACTACGATATCGGACGTTCGGCTTTTAACGGGTAATCTCTCGCGTGTTTTGTTTCTCTGCGTGCCTGCTTCGCCATCGTTCCACACCAACTTTTGCGAGGTTAAGAGCCTCATTTCAGCGATTCGCCAAAAAGAATTCTCTAGCCATTTCCTTTTCCACTTATCGGTTCATCTGCATCTCACTCCATTATTAAACGAGCGCATCACCGTTTTCATCTCGGGCTTGCAGGTCAGGTTGGGGAGGGAGAGGGCGGGATCGTTTTTTGAGGGTGCTTTCTGGAGAATTTCGATCTGCGAATTTTTCGCAAACTGCCCATTATGTAGGCAAAACGGATGTAGAGTATTGCCGTTTTTCTGCAGTTGACAGAGTGCTTCTCTCTTTGCAATGGAAGTATTCAGTTGGAAAACTGTTTAAGAGTGGTAAGGTTTGTCGGTTGTTTTGGGATTCAGCTTGCAAAGAACCCCGGCCGTGGCGTTGATGTGCGGGTGGGGGGGGGGGGGGGGGGGGGGGGAGGTGTGGTCGTAATTGTTGGTTGGTCTCCCTACTGGTATAGTGGTAAGGGTTGTGTCGAGACTCTAATCCATTGGTGGAGAGGTCCGAAAATTCCAAAATGATTTTCGAATTGGTCGAGCGCGACTGTTTATCCTGCTAGGGAAAGGGCAAAAATACAGGTTACAGCACGAGTTTTCTGGTTTCGCCCATGCTTAACTTTGGAATTTGGAATACGATGTCTTTCGATCATGAGAATCACTTGGACTTCGATGGCACCCTTGGTGATCTTTATTATAGAATTTAGCCCTCAACCTGTACTGAGTAATTTTCACAAAATTATTGGTGTTAGTACTTTGGCTGGGCAAAAAAATTGCGATAACTTCTGAGAATCTCAAAACTCACGCATCTTGAGGTACCCTTCGGTGGTTTCCGATGGATACATAGACAGGCGTTTTTGGAAAGTATCCAAGCAGGAGAGCGGTTACATTGCGTATATTCTCGCGTGTCAAATCTTCCGTGTAATCCCACGAGTCATGAGCTTGGAAGTCTCCGGTGATGATAATGTAATCCAGCTGAAATTTTGATCATAACTCTAAACATAGTTTTGCTATTTTGAGATGTCAGTATTTTCCTCTGAAATGAAGGTGGTAAATTAGCCGATGGCTCCACTACCTCACGTGTAATTCAACGATCAGATCCCATATCGACTTCGCCTGGACTAGCCAAGCATCCTTACGAGGTCGAGCAGTTACTGCTAGATATAGGAACAGATCGAAGCAAGTTCATACATACATAGTATCCCTCGAGACGAAACTCTTTCCATAAACCGAACACATTCAAGAGAATTTGACCAAAATAACCTCCGCGAAGGGTTAGGATGACTTCTTCCCCCCCCCCTTCCCGCTTGGTCACCAACCCACCAACATCTCCCATAATACTCCTACCTTCTACCGTCCTACCCTCCTATCTAGGAGCACATCTCACTGTTGCTAAGAAAAAGTTGATCCAGCCGAGGGCATGTCACAGCCGGCGGAAGAAAATCCAGATTTTCCTAGATTTTCTACACGATTCCTAAGTGAAATTTTTGGAATGTGGTAGTGAAAAGGACCAGGTCCTATTCAAGTATACTTTGCCAGTTTACCCAATGCAACCCTCATAGAGGCAAATGCGATTCCTACACTCACCCCTCCCCCTCCTTTCCACTTTCTGGGCGAATTCGCGTTACTGGCTCACCCCGGAGCATGTATCCTGCTCAGCGCTGAGATATGTATTCCGTTGATAGCCTTCTCACCACAGCCACGGAAAGCATCAATGAAATTTGAGGTAAATTCGTGCAGTCGTGGAAGGGTTGTTTGCTGGTCATGGGTACTCCCTGCTCCTAGCATGTGACAGGTCTTGGAAACCTCCTCAGGTACGCTAACATAACAACGTTTGCGCTTTGTGTGGCAGATGTGGAATAAACATTATATTATGTAATGAAAGTCAAGACTGGAAATGTCCTACGTCTTTGTGGGCCTGACTTATATGACTGAGAGCCGCCACAAACGTTTGGTGCGGTAGGTCGCAGGCGTAGGGCATCCCCCACGGTCCAGCTGGTACGTAGATCGGCTCTGAAATGCGGATTTGAATTATTGTGCGGGGATTACTCGTGCAAACCAATGGCAGGCAGCAAAGGCGAACTGTACCACTGATGCAAATGAAATTAAACATTTCTTCAGTTTTTTGGCTAATGGTAAGATCAAAATTAGTTTCTGTTTGCATCGGTGAGTGAATTCACCCTTGCTGCCTGCCATTGGCAAGCATGAGTAATCCCCTATTTAGACAGCTCTAGTACATGTCGCCTGCTCTTGATCAGGATTCATGACCTTACTCAACTCATTTTCTTAACTTACTTTTCTTCGTTCGCGAAGCTGAAACGTCATCAGCGTAGTTTCTGCAGCACATCGCGTAAGTGCCCAATGCATCGTCCAGCTGACAGTACGCCTCCGAACCAACAGCGTACTGCCGATCAATGTGAATGTCCGACAAGTGTAGAACTTTGTAAGTGGGCTTGTTCTCCTGAATGAAGAAGTATGTTAAGTCAAAGCTTTCAGTGAGCCAGTGCTTATTCGTACAGGAATTGTTGGCCACGGCTTCACTGGTGGTTTCTTGTCCGGTATCGTGATATTCCACATGACATGGAATGGAGACACGGATGGACCACAGTTCTTTATGAAAGCTCCGCAGAACTCATTCGGAGTGAATACGGTCCTCTCCAGCACAAACACCACCTCAGACTGAAATTAAAACAATTACTTGTCA